AGCAGGACACTCGTCTTTGGCGTAGTATAAAGCAAGACCAAGGTGAGAGGCGGACGTACGTTTTGACCAACGGGGTCACGTGCCCCCAACAAATTTTTTTTTTCTTTGAGTAGATCCATGATAATGTCTCTTGATTAACTCAAATCCTATAGTAATGCCCCCAACTAACTCAATTCTATGATAATGCCCCCGGTTAAAACTTTTTCTAGATCTTCCCATTAGGTCGGACAGAGTTAGGTTCTTACCTCACAGATGAACTCATATATCGTCGAACATCTATAAAACAATAAACTGTACGTACGTTGTAAGTAGAGATGTTAAAATTAGGTTTTTACCTATTGGGTACCCGAAACCCGGACAAATTTTCAAGCCCATTACCTGATCCGATCTACTAAAAAAAGACGCGGACTTAAAACGGGCGGGTTTTTTATGTAATCGGGTTTAGATGGGTTTAGCTTATCGGATTTCGGGTACCCAATGGGTTTTTTTTAATCAATCTAAAATGTAAAACGACACCGTAGAAGTTAAATCCTAATACACCGTCTCCTTCACAGCTGCGACACCATCTCCTTCTCCTTCACACAAGACACCGTTTCCTTCACAACCACCGCTTGAAAATCTCAGACTTCCCTAGGTCTGAGATTTAATGATATCAAATCTGTTTCAAAATTGGGTTAATTTAGTTGTGGTTTTGGTGTTGGGTCTCTCTCAAAGTCAAACCTAATATATCGTCTCCTCTGTCTCCTTCACAGCTGTGATATCGTCTCTGACTCTCCGGTAAAACTCTCATTCTTGTAAGAGAACACTTGATTTATAGATTTTGTGCATTGTTTCTGTGTTGGGTCTCTTTGAGCAATTAAAAAAAAAATTGTTCTCTTATCATTTTGCTCTTCTTTGTGGGTTTTCCGTAAGTTATTGTCTTTGTATTTGGGTTTATAGAAAATTGAAGAATAGATTCTGCAGTTAACACTCTTATTGTTTTAATTTGATTTATAGATTTTGTGTATCCTTTCAGTGTTGGGTCTTTCTCAAAGTATCAATCTTGTGGGTTTCTCTCTGCATCTATCGCTGATTTTTTTTTGGATGGCGTTGTTTTATTTTGCAGAATGGATTCACAGACACTTGAGACACTAGCAGCTCTTGATGCTGAGAATGAATATATGATGAATAATGAGGATGAAGAAGAAGATTTAACTCAAAGTGAAGCTCAAACGGCTCAAATGGTATTTAGTTCTAATAAACGCTTAAAGTCTAGTGTTTGGAAAGAGTTTGTGCCAGTAGAAGTAGAGCAAGATGGCAAAAAGAGAAGTCGATGCATACATTGTGATAAGAAGTTAGTGTCTGAAACCAGTCAAGGAACATCAGCCTTAAAGCGTCATTTAGGATGTTGCCCAAAGAGACCTCCAGGGTTTAGTGAAGAAAGTCAGTATGATCACAAAAAGATCGTGCTATGATTACCGAGATTATCATATACCATGATCAGCCTTTCCGGTATGCTGAGTATGAAAAGGTTAGAGTTAGAGCTAAGTATTTGAATCCGAATTGTCAACATATATGTAGGCAAACAGCTGGAGCAGATGTTTTTAGGAGATTTGTGTTAGAAAAAGAGAAGCTTAAAAAGGTTTTTGCAGAGTACAAAGGTCGAGTATCCTTTACATCCGATATGTGGACAGCTCGTACCACTATGAAGGGTTATTTGTGCTTAACCGCACACTATGTTGATGAGAGCTGGAATCTGAACAACAAAATTCTAGCTTTTTGTGATGTGAAACATCCACACACAGGGGAAGAATTAGCTACTACAGTTATTCGTTGCTTGAAAGAGTGGGGTTTAGAGAAAAAAGTGTTCTCTATGACTTTGGATAATGCAACTAGTAATGACAGTATGCAGAAGCTACTTAAGCATCGTATTCAGATGATTAGTAGTAGTGGGTTGTTGTGTGATGGAAAGTATTTTCATGTTAGATGTTGTGCACATATTTTGAATCTCATAATCAAAGAAGGATTGGAACTAGCTAGTGGTCTTCTGGAAAATATTCGGGAGAGTGTCAAGTTTGTTAAAGCATCTGGATCAAGGATAGACTCGTTTGCTGCATGCGTTGAAAGTATAGGGATTAAGAGTGGAGCAGAATTATCTCTAGATGTACCTACACGTTGGAATTCTACGTATGATATGCTTGCTAGAGCTCTGAAGTTTCGCGAGGCATTTGTTAGCTTCAAAGAGTGGGACAGGAGTTACAAAACATTGCCTTCGAAAGAAGAGTGGGATCGGGGAGAGAAAATCCGTGATTTCCTGAAGCCTTTTAGTACTATTACTACTTATTTCTCAGGCGTTAAATATCCCACAGCTAATGTGTATTTTCTACAAGTGTGGAAAATTGAGAGTATTGATAAAATATGCTACGTGTGGTGATGCTGCAGTGGAAGACATGGCTAGGAGAATGCGGTCCAAATTTGTAAAGTACTGGGATGAGTACAGTCTCATTTTAGCTATGGAAGCTGCTTTAGATCCGAGGTTGAAGCTTCAAATGTTTAAGTCAGCGTATGACACAGTGGATCCTAGAACTTCTCAGAGAAAAGTTGATATTGTTGAGAAAAATCTCAAAATGTTGTATGAAGAGTACAAGACTGAAACATGGAGTTCTTCAACCTGTTCAGCAACACCAACTCCACAAGAACTTCTTACCGAATCACCACTAGAAGAGGATCTCAATTGTGTAAGTATCGTATCTTTTTAAATAACTTGGTGTCATCTCTCTCTTTGTACTTGATAGTTTTGCTATTTGTATCATACAGGATCTATCTGAACTTGAGAGAAACATCCATTGTGAACAGGATAACATGAAATCGAATTTAGAGACTTATTTGGATGATCCTAGGCTAGATTTGAAATCGTTTTCAGATATAGAAGTTTTGAGTTATTGGAAAAACAATGGACATCGCTATGGTGATTTGGCTGCTCTAGCTTGTGATTTGCTAGCAATTCCAATAACTACAGTGGCATCAGAGTCGGCGTTTAGTATTGGAGGTAGGGTTTTGAATCCGTACCGAAATCGACTCCTTCCAAAGAATGTTCAAGCCTTGATTTGTACACGTAATTGGTTGAGGGGTTTTACAGAATTTGAAGGTAACTTCTTATAACTTCTAGTTGTTGCATGATGGTTTTCGTAACTTCTTATCACAAATTCACAATGTATACGCTATGTTTTAGGTGATATTGAAGATAACTTTGATGATGGAAATGAAGATGTTACAACGACATCAAGCAGCTCCGGAGTATAAGATTTGAGAACGGTTTGGATTTTGTTTTTGTTGATATTGAAGATATCTTTGATGATGGAATGCTTTTGTTTCAGACTTATAATTATAAGTGTTGCTTAGTTTTGTGGAATGGTTTTGTGGAATGCTTTTGTGGAATGCTTTTGTTTTAGAGAATTGTTAAACTTAGTTTCAGAAGAAAAAAAATGAATAGTACTATCGGGTACCCGCAGGTACACTGTTTAGCTGACGGATTCATTTCGGGTTACACTATACGGGTTTAAACCCATTCGGGTTTTTCTAAATTCGGGCTTGTACTAAGCGGGTTCATTTCGGGTTCGGATCGGGTCGGGTAAAAAAACCCACTGTAACATCTTTAGTTGTAAGTTGTATATGCTAGACTAGACTTTGTACATTTAATTAAGCGAAAGAATACACTAGAAATATGTTCTATGCATTATCCCATTGGTTTAATTAATCATGTTTAAAATGACATTAATAAACCCATAACATACTGTATTAAGGAACCACGAACTTGATATTTTTTTACATGTGTTTAACTGTTTAAGTGATGGTTAAGCGTTCGAAAAAATGGGAAATATTTTAACAAACTTTTGTAGTTTTGTGTGTTCAAGGTATACAAGCAAAAAAAAACGAGGAAAACAATGAAGTATCTGAAAAAAAAACATGGCGGTCAATCTCTTTTTCTACGGATTTATTAAAATCATGATTTTTTTTATTAAAAAAAGTGACAACAACATTACAGCTTAACCATATTCAAAAAAAAAAAGGAATATGACGCTATACTCCAGAAAAATACTAATTTAGTATATATATGAAATTCCTATACTAATTTTCCATTTGATCTCTGATCTAATCATCTAACCCGGCCCAAACCTTCTAGCACCTAACGAGTTAACATTGCTTTTAACTAATAAGTAGGATTTGAAGACTCACTTTGTGTAAGTGACACCATCAGAAAGTTCGATTCTTTGGGGGGGATACAATAATGTATTTGTTGATTATACTATTAAAATTATACACACGTCTTTCAATTTGGAGCCAACAAAAAGATTAAAAGAGAAAGAAAAAAAAAAAAAAAAAGTTAACAAATGTTTCAATTCCTCTTGAAGTTAAATATGTACTTTTCTTATCCAACCATATAATGGGCTTATGGTCCATATAATGGGCTTATAGTCCATGTTGCTATACGAAGCCGTTTATGTGATAAACAAATATAAATAAGCCGACGTGGCTACTAAAGAAGTAGAAGAAAGATAGATCCGGGAATTGGATTCTCTACACCAGCTACATTCTACATATAATAGACCACCGCTCTTTTATCTGTACTTCGACTCTGTTACCATCTCATCTATTTTTCTTACAGTCAAAACGACGGTGGTACATACTAGTACAATACACTCAACCGCAGGTGATTAATTTGTGACAAACAAAGGATCTTTTAAGAAAAATGTGAGTTTCTGAGCTCTGTATATAAAATCTCTTAAACCCTACTTACACTTTGTCTTCATCCTCTCACTGCCTGCCTCCTCCTTTACTCAGCCACTGTTACTTCGCAAAAACCCTAATTTCGCCATTCCCTTCCGCTGAGGTTTTGCCTCATCTCTTTTAATATCTTTCATAGCTTTAGAAATGGCGCATTTGTCATCGAATCCTTGTCTACTCTTGCAATGGCTTTTTGATTTAGGGTTTTGGATTCTTTGTAGAATTGAAAGGAAATAATGTTTTTGTAGCTTTTTGATTATCGTTTTCTATCTTTATCCTTCTCAGACATCTAGAAACCGGATTTGATTGGTTGATTATAGTTTTCTGGGTTTATGTTTTTGTGCTCAGGTATCTAGAAATGGCTTTCTGCAACAAGCTTAGTGGGATTTTGAGGCAAGGGGTTACTCAGAGCTCAAATGTTCCAGTGACATCTATGCTTGGCTCTCTCCGTTACATGTCCACCAAGCTTTTTGTTGGTGGTAAGTTTTAAACATATCTTCCCTTGCTTTTTACTGATTTTATAGCTTGAATGTTCTGTTATTTTCACTGAGATGTGCTTTTTAAACTTTTTGTTTGTGTGCATTGATTTCAGGTCTCTCATGGAACACTGATGACCAGTCCTTGAAGCAAGCTTTCTCTAACTTTGGTGAAGTTACAGAATGTAGGCCATTGTTTCTGTCTCCTTGTTCATTACAATTTCATTACACAATAGAAAGTCTTTTCGTTTGGATTGGTTCTCAACGGTTATGTGTCTACATGTATATGAAACCCCATTCAAGAATGTTTCAAAATTAGTTTAGTCTTGTACGAAATGGAATGATGATTTAGGTTGATGATGAACGTTTGTGAGATGTTATCAGTGCTCTAGTAATGCTGTTGGTTTATGGTAATATTACTCAATCGAATGTTGGTGTGGCTTTGGTTTGTGCAGCAATAGTGATTTCAGACAGAGAGACAGGGAGGTCGAGGGGTTTTGGATTTGTCAGCTACGACAGTGAGGGTTCTGCAAACAACGCCATATCAGAAATGGATGGGAAGGTTAACTGATGATATATAGTGTTGTTGATTGTTCTGTTTCTAAAAGTCGTCTCTTATTAACTATTTTGTGTTTTGGGTATGATCAGGAGCTAGATGGTAGAAACATCCGTGTGAACCTTGCAAACGAGAGACCAAGTGCCCCGAGATCATCATATGGTGGTGGTGGTGGTGGTGGTGGTGGTGGTGGTTATGGTGGTGGAGCTAGTGGTGGCTACTAAGTACTAACATCACAAAGGATTTGAGAGAGAGAGAGAGAGAGAGAGAATCCAGTTTTTTTAGTAGTTAGTTGAGCTTGTTTCCTCGTTACTACAACAAACAAAAACCTTAATTGGTTTTGATGAACTTAGCAGTTAACCCCTGTTTTGGTTATTGTTGCTCCATTTTCTGCAATCTATTTTGCATCGAGTTAATTCGATGTGTAAAACCTTTTTTCTTGATTTATGTACCACTTGTGATCTTCGGATTTATATTTGTTTGGTCCTTTAAAATTCATTCTTGTGAGTAATAAAGAAAAGTTTGTAAGGTGCAACAAAACGGTAGAAAGTGTATCTTCTGTCATCGAGAAGTAGAAACAATCAAAGAGTCAACAAGAACAAATATGGGCTAGAAACATTAGAAAGAACAAAGCCCAATAGAGAAGCCCAACCATTTGAATCGATAATCTGAACAAGACGCGTGTGACTTCTAAACACTACCCCATTTCATAAAACTTCCAACACGTATATCCGTTTTCCAAAGTTTTTAACAACCGTCTACACTAAATATCTCAACTAATCCACTTCAAACGATTAGCATTCAAAAAAGAAACTAATTTAAACTCCATTAACAATTTAACCCAAAAAGTGCATTAACAACTACTACTATTTGATACTACTAATTGCCAAGACATCGTATCTTGAAAAGAGAATATCTCAATAAACTAACCAAGCTTTTCGTATAATTCATTTATAAAAATTTGTAGACAAAAGAAAAAGAGGATAACGATAGCAAAAATGGAGTCCAGCCATCATCATCCAATGCAAATGGTCCTCTTTCTCCTTTTGATTTACAGCCATTCGGAATAATACAGTTTCTAAGTTATTTTGTCGAAATCAAATCCGATTTTAATATGAAATAGCAAAGTATTAAAAAAAAAAACATCAAAAGCTAAAGAGATAAAAAGATAGTGAAATTATACTGTATGTTACAGTTAGTAATGGATCACAGGTTTCATTCCTTGTTACAAAAATCTAACGGCTAAGATCTGCTCTAAACACTTTCCAGCAAGATCATAACCCAAATCATTTATTACATAACAAACCCACATATATTTCCAGTTCTACCCCCCTTTTTCTCTCCTCTTTCACATTTTTTTTTTCTATATATCTTTCTATTATATAACATACAGCTGTAGCAATTTAATTCCCACACTATGATCCCCCTAAAAAAAGGACCACCACAAAAAACATTTATGAATTTTTTTTTTTTGACATTTTAAAATAAGAACAGAAAAATACAGAAATTTGTCCCTGTAAATGATTTTTCTTTTTTCTTTTTGTAAAAAGGAAAAGCATGTGATGATGATAGAGAGAGAAAGAGATATATTAAGCGGAATCTTCGGCGTGAGAAGTTTCCTTTTTTACCCTCGGCTGTACCCCGTAATAACCAACGTACCACTTGACGAACTTCCTCAACCCCGCCGCGAGATCCGTCGTGGGTTTATACCCGAAATCTCTATACGCTAAGCTCACATTCGCATGCGTGTAAGGCACGTCACCGTTCCTCGGCATTTTGATTAGATGTTTCCTCGCTTTCGTCCCCAACAATCCTTCCAATATCGAAACCAATCTCCCGACCGGAACCGGAGAAGTGTTCCCGAGATTGTAAACCCGAAGCTGAGCCGGTCCTCTCTTCTTCCCGCCGCTTCCCGTGCTTTTCTCCGCCGTGTCCAACGCACCGACGCATCCTTTAACGACATCGTCGATGTACGTGAAGTCACGCGCCACTTCTTGATTGTCTTGCGTCCTGTAAATGTCGATCGATTTCCCGTGGAGTATGTCTTTAGTGAAGAAGAAGTAAGCCATGTCCGGTCTTCCCCAAGGACCGTAAACCGTAAAAAACCGGAGTCCGGTTAACGAAAGACCGTAAATGTGATTGTAAGTGTGAGCAATCTCCTCCCCTGCTTTCTTCGTCGCCGCGTAAAGACTCGCCGGCTGATCCGTTCTGTGCTCTTCGGAGAAGGGATTCTCTGTGTTGAGTCCGTAAACGGAGCTTGACGAAGCCCATACGATCGCAGGCTGAGGATTAGCTGCTTTAGCTACTTCGAGGAGGTTAACGAATCCGGCGATGTTCGAGCTGATATAAGATTGAGGGTTCTTCATCGCGTAACGAACTCCGGCTTGAGCTGCTAAGTGAAGGACGTGAGTGAAAGGGACGACATCGAAGAGCTTACGCAAGAGAGGGCCGTCGTTGAGATCTCCTTCGACGATGAACACTTGGTTCTTCTCAAGAAGCTCTTGTCTTGCTCTTTTGAGCGATGGATCGTAGTAATCGTTGAAGTTGTCGAATCCTAGAACACCGTCGCCGCGTTTTCTAAGGTAGATTGAGCAGTGTGATCCGACGAACCCGGCTGCTCCGGTGACGAGGACGGAGAGACCGTGTGGTCGTTTTGCGGTTGAGGATTGTCTCACGCGCTTCTCCCATGCGGCTCCTTCGCCAAGAGAGGAGGAGGAAGAGAAGATTCCGGTGGACAAGAAGCTACGACGGTGGAGATGGTGTGCTGCGGCGGCGCGGCTGTCGGAGAGTGGAGGGTAGTTGATTGCAAAGAGGAGGACGAGTACGAGAGCAACGAGGAGTGTTGCTCGGAAAAGGACTTTGGAAGAAGCGTTGAGAACTTTCGTGCTGTGAATCTTGCGGAGGTAGCTGTTGTACCTTTCCAGCTTCACCGTCTTGCTTGTATCCACCGTCGCCGATAGGGGCATTTTCGTCTTTTTGATAGGAACTCTATATTTGTCTGTGGATTCTTCTTCTCTTTGGATCCAAGGGGCTCGAAAAAATCTAAATTCGGAATAAAATGTTTTTTTGTTTTGTTTGGAGGGTTTGAGAGAGTTTCTTTTTTTTTCCGAGCCCTGAAAAAAAAGTGAAGGAACGATCTATGATTATAAAGAGAAAGAGAGAAATTTTGCTGGTCGGAAACCACTTTTTTCCGTAATAAAGATAAACGAGTTAATTTTATAATTTTATAATAAAATAAAGTACTGTTGTATTTTACCCAAACAACAAAAAGTACTGTTGTAATTGTGATGATGATGTTTTTTTTTTTTTTTCAACACGGGTGTGATTTTTACCAGAAATATAAGAAGGATCTACAAGTTAGGCTTGTGCCACCTCGAAGAGAGTTAGATTGTTCTCCATTAGTATTCTATAGATTATTCTCCATTAGTATACTATATGGGAAACTTCTTACCGAGTTTACTTTTGCTATATTTAAAGAAGTCTTGGAGTTATTTTTTTTTTTTTTTTGAAAAAGGGTTTCTGGAGTTATTTTATTTACTCTTCAATTATAGTCAAGATCTGTTTATTAACTATGAAGTTTTTTATTTCCATTTCTACTAGATGTCAAAGTTTGTCATTTTCTTTATCTTTAGAGATACAATATGTTATGATTTGTTTAAAGTTGCAAATTGTATTTAATCAAATTCTCATACTATAGATTATTTTATTCATAATTGTAAAGATGAATACATACTCAAGAGATATCAATATAAATAATTTTAACTGAAATATATATATATATAATATAAATAATTTTAACTGGAATCATTTATTTAAGACTAATAAATGTGCTAAAAATACAATGTGATATTCAGAGCAACACTAGGCGCAACACTAGGAATCAATTAAAAGCATTTTTTTTTGTATTCTCCAAGAAGGGAGTACAAAAATATATCTAGATATTATAAATTTCAAGATATCAACTATCGACCACGGGACCAGATAAATTTTACGAAAACCACCACCATTACTACTAATATATTATTTTTTCCACTTCATAAAAAATGTGGTTATATTTCTATCTTTTTTTTTCTTTTTTAATTTGAAAAGTTGTTGTTTTAGAATTTCAAATGAATTTCTAGAGTAAATATCTAATTTTTTCCCTAGTCAAATTCAACAAAATTTAAGCTATTTCAGTTTCATATGTAAATATCAAATTAAAAAGAATTTCAAAGACGTAAAAGAAAATAAATTAAGATAATATTTGAGATTATAAAACATGCTAACTGGACTGTTCTATGACTTAGCAGTAAAGTGTGCATACTTTGATAACGTTTTGTTTTTGTTAAGAATAATTATATAAGTAAAATATGGACCTTCGTTGTCAAAGTATATAACCAAATGATTCAAATAATTAAGGAATTTTATTTAATACATTGGTTAAGCAAGAGGACAACCCCACTTCGGTTTGTCTTGTGGTGTTTAGGAAATGACAGGAGAGTGCCCCATGTGGTGACTTCCATTCACATGTTTTTTTTTATGTGTGAACATTTGGACCAATTTTATTTGCTGACTTTTTTTTCTCCCCATATTATATTTTATAATTAAAATATTGCGAAATTGGGTTGGGTTCAACTTAATATATAAGAACAGTACAGGTAGAAAATAAATGAAGCCTTTTTAGGACAAAAGCCAGAAAATGGTAAAATAGCCAACTTGTTGATAGTCTACGCGTTTTCAAAATATGCTTATATTCTACGCAAAAACAAATTTAATAATAGAGAGTAGACTGAAGCTGAAAAAATAATGTTAGAGATCTGAACAGATCATTATGAATTATATCTACTTATTGCAGTAACATGAATGATCGATGGATACAAACAAATAGTATATAGACTTGCATTTGTTTATACAGTTTGTTACTCGACTTAAAAATCGATTTTACAGATAGTGTAACGAGTTACAAACGATAAAAAAAAATTACAATATTATAAACTACTTTTTTCATGCTTTTCTATGATGTGAACTGTCTAATTTCTATCAATATATATACAACTAACTATAGTTGTAGTCTGAATTTAAAGGAAAAAAGAAAGAACTATTTATTTTTGATTTGGGGTATATTAATTTGTAGCAAAACTAAGCATTGTTTTAAGCTTGAAACCAGAAAAGGCTATGATAACTTGAATTACCATATAATAACTAGGGCTAATGTCTATATTTGGGAAAAACAAATATGGGAGGAACGCTAAGAAAATCAACAATAAGCGAATAAGTTCATCTAAAAGTAAAAAAGACAAATTAAGTTCCATCTTTACATCTCCGCTTTTTTAATCTAATAATCTTACCACAAAAACAGTAGAGCCAAAACAGTACTTTAGAAGTAAAACTCCAGAAAACAAATGGGAGATCAATGGGTTGCTTTAACTAATATATCCCCGAATTTAAATAAATAATAGCAATTCAAACTTTATACATGTGATATTATAGAAGAAAAGATAGGAAAAGAAATGAGTGTATGGACAAGTTGAAAAGGATGTTAGGTCAAATTTCAAAATCAGAAGAAAAATTTGGGGGTGTAAAAGTTAAAAGAGGA